GTTGAGATGTATAATTAGGGCAAATTTTCTCTTCTGTGAGTGTGAGGGACTTATTAAGAAGAAGGTCAATGGATCCAGATTCCAGAAGGCCCTAGGGGGCTCTCCTGTGGATTTGGATAGTGCACATATTGGAACCCTGTTGGAACACAGAGATTATATGGGCAGTTGACACACTCATTCTTGAACACCTCTGTAGTAGAGCTCACATGTCTGATGAAGCAGCACTGAAGATGTTTGAGTGCAAATGGAGAAACCACCTAGTGGATGCAAGTCAAGCTCTAGTATGTGCCCGGGCTTTTTAGGACTGACTGAGTCCTATTACCTGCTTGACCCTAAAGGCATGCTAGACCAGTCTGAGGCCCTCTATATTCACCAGGCACTTAGCAGAACAAAAGCTGTCACATCTGCCAGAACTGAGACTGCAGTGTTATAGCAGTTAAATCAGCTGAGATATTCAGAGCCTCCTGATCCAGTTTTCTTGAATGAGCTTCAGTTGGTACAGCTCAGGGATGTTGACAGAGTGCTCAGAAAGGTTCCACCTCCATAGCTTATCAGAACATGTCAGGGAGGAAACAATTGGCTGGGCCAGGGAGGTTTGCAAAGCTTCACTGCAAAAAGGACTCATCCCACAATACCTAAAAGAGGTGGCAGTGAGACTACATCTGAAGAAATCCTCACTGGACTCGGAGAATTTAAACTTTAGGCCAGTGGTAAATAATTTTTTCCTAGGCAAGGACTTTGCAGGTAGTGACCATCCAGCTCTAGGTACTCTTGAATGAGATTGTATTTGGATCCATTTTTGTTCGGGTTCAAACTAGATTTTGGCATAGAAACAGCATTGGAGATAGGCAGGGGAGTGTGACTCTGTTGAAACTCCTAGATCTCTTGACAGTGTTTGATACTTTTCACCATGGTTCCCCTCTGGGACTTCAGTCAAAGTTGGGAGTGTCGAGTACGACACTGCAGTAGTTCCATTCCTACTTAAATGGATGGCCCCAGAAGGTGGTGCTTGCAGAATATTGTTTGGGCCTGTGGACTCTTCAGCCTGGGGCTCCTCAGAGGGTCCTTTCTTACCCATGCCATTCAATGTATTGAATAAAATTCAGTAGGGATAGATGCAAAGTTCTATACCTAGAAAAACAGAACCAGTTACAGGATGGGATTGGTTGGCTCAACAATACTAGAAGAGAGAATGATCTTGGAATTGTTGTAGATCAAGAGGCAGTCTTCATGGGGCAGCTGGACAGTCATCTGCTGAGGATGCTTTAACTAGAGTCCTTTACTGAGCAGCAAGTTGGACTTGATGGCCTTCTGGGCCCCTTCCAGCTTCACTGTTCTATGATTCTGTGATACATGAAATCTGTTGGGGTCATCTGGAGGTTTGGAGTGCATTGCTGTCAGTACAGTGATCGCACGTGACTTTACTTCTTTTCCACTCCATCTGGTGAAGCTGTGGGTGTGCTTAACCACTGCCTGGCTACAACAGTGGACTGGAATAGGGCCAATGCACTGAAGTCCAGTTCAGACATGACTGAGAACCTGTTAGTGGATCATTCCTCTGACTGGATGGAGGGTGCTCAGCCTGTTGTGGATGGGAAGAAGCAGGTTCATAGATTTGGGGCCTTTGCATGTTGGCCACTTGAGGCTTAGGTGGCCTCAGTGACACAGAGTGTCTTCTATCAGTTGTGTCTTATGGCCTTCCTGTGTACCTATCCTGGTTTCAGTGATCTGTGCTGTGGTGATCTGCCAGTAATGTACTTCTTATGGGACTGTCCTTGAAGACTGTTCAAAAGCTGAAGCTTGTGCAAAACATGGCAGGCAGACTGATAACTGAAGACCTGAACATATAAGGCCATTCTGGGCTAGCTTGCATTGACTCCTTACATGCTTCTAGCCCAGTGCAGAGTGCTGGTTTTAACCTATAAAGCCTTACACAGCTTGGGATTGCAAAAGCTGTTGAAGCACCTCTCCCAGGCTACCTGCATGCTGTGATCAGCAGGATCTGAGGCCTTTTACCATGTGCCACCCCTGAGGGAAGCTGATAGGGCAGCAACAAGGGGCAGGGCCTTCTCAGTGGTATCCCCCTCTGAGAAGTTGCAGGATAATCTCTCACTGAGCCCTGTCTGATGTCAACTCTTTCATCCCTTCAATGCCAGTTTAAGACTATCCTCTTCTCCAAGATGTTTAATAGCATGACGGGACACCAGTGTCAGCTGTTTTGATGGGTCTAGTTTGTATTTAAAAACATTGTTCTAGCTGTTAAAGCTCTCTTTTTAAATTTTTGAATACTGGTATGGTTTCTATTGTTTTTTATGAATTTAGCGTCAGATACACATGTACATGCAAAATGGAAATTGTGCTCCTGCCTCTCATCACAGTGCCTACACCTATATTCATGTAAATTTTTAAAAAGCCACTGATTTTAGCAGTGTAGCCATCAGAATATTCTGTGAGAATAAATAGGAAGCATGTTCTGTGCAATGAGTGAAACATTTTCCTTTAAACCTGATTCCTACTAATTTCATTGTTTTATCCAGAGCTCTTGAATTTTCAGAAAGAATTCTTCCCCTGCCCGCTCCATACCACTATGAACTGCTACTGACTCCTCTTCTCTCACCCCATTCCTGCTGTTCCAGCTAAGATGCTTGAGTCTTTTTAAGCCAATTTCTTCTGGCTTAGGGGTAGGCAATTTGTGGCCTTTCACGTGCTTTGGTCTACAACGCCCATCAGTCCTAGCCAGCATGGTCAGTGATGAAGAATGATGGGAGGGCAAAACTTCTGGAAGGTCACATGTCACACACTATTAACTAAAAGTCTGGATCATCCTTACCTTTTCGTCTTGTGGCTGCTCTCATGGGCCATGCAGGATGCAGAAATTCAGCCTTAATCTCTTTGCATGCTGAGATCTACCTAAAAGGAATCTAGGTTAGAGCTCTCCTCTTTGACCTGTGATCCTTCTATAAATAGAATTTTACTTTTAATGGTTTTCTATGGACCAACCTTCACCAAACTGGTACTGGCCATCCTCCTGTATCAAAAGCAGGATACCTGTTCAGGCCAGTTGCTAAGGAACATAGGCAGGAGAGTGCTTGTAGGTTTCTGTGGGCAGCTGGCTGGCCCCTGTGGAAACAGAACACTGCACTAGGGTGAGATCCATCAGAGCTTCTTGTGCTCTTAGGGGGTGCTGAGAACTGTAACCCAGCACTTCCAAGGGCAACAGGTAGGGAAAGGCTAGTATGGAGGAATGCTTAGTCACAAGAATCCCTACTGCTGCAGTTTGAAGTGTTACAGCCTGGATGTTGGTTTGCCACTTCAGTGAAAGTAGGTTTTGAGGGCATCACACAGACCCTTCTGGATGTTAAGTGACTACGTTGGAGGGTGTCGGGACTATGCAGGAAGTGCCCCACTCTTTCTTGCTGAATGCCTGTTAGCTGTATGCGTGAAACAGTTTTCTGTGCATACAGCAACTCCCCATGAGAGAGTCCCAAACTGGGCAGGGTCTCATTTTGAGCATCACTGCTCTCCACACATACTGTTGCTCTGCATGAGCAGAGAGTCCATCTGTACAGTTGTCCAAGAAATGGTGGAGGAGGTGTGCAGGGTTAGCCACGAGGTCCCAGAATGCCTCTGCATGTGCACTGAATGTGCAGAAGCTTTTGAGATTCAGGAAATGTTTCTTTCAGCAAGCAGGAGCATTTCTTGCTTGCACACTGCCAGCCCCTTCCTGGCTTTAGGAGTTATGTGCTGTTTGTGGTATGGTTTTTAGTGCAGTGGGGAAAGAGGTATTCAATTCAAGGAGCACTGGGGAAAATGTGATTGCACCTATAATAATCAGGCCATTAAAAGAAATCTTGTCATATTTATTAGCTGCCCGTGTTTTTACAGCTGTGGCACTCACGGGTCAGCAATCCCACTTGCTTCTTAATGTGCCTATCTCTAAGCAGGGAAGATAGTTTCAGAGCCCTTTTCACAGTTTCCAGAGTGCCGCAGTTTCTCAAAACAAGAAGCCTCAGCCATGCTTTGCTCTCTAGATCAAAATCAAATGTCACACTGATTTCTTTTTTTAATTTGCCAGGACCTCTGAGATGCCGGGTGTGCAGGGACCTGCCTCACTTCTCTGAGGTTGCTTAACTACTATGAACTGTGCCATCCTGTGCGCCCATGTAGTCTTGCTTTCAGATTTGGGGCTCCCTTGTTCAGTTGGTCAGGTGCTGAGCCTCTTTCTTTATGTGTCTATTCTAGCTGTTCAAAATCTACCTTCCTTCCTTCCTTTCTTATACTGCCCTACAGTCAAAGCTGTCTGGACAGTTCACAGCAACATATTTACAAACAATATAAAACACACCAATTAAAACGTACTAAAACATCATTAAAAAGTTAGCAATACAAAATTTAAAACAAAATTAAAAAACGGGAAAAATTATATGTTGCAAAGACCCAGTTAGACCTTGTCTAGCAACCAGCAGGTCCCGGTAACCAATTAAATGTCCTGCAGTAGAGGATGGTCTTTACCAGTGCCAAAAAGATAGTAAAGTTGGGGTCAGGCAGGCCTCAGTAAGGAGCTCATTTCTTAACTAACGGACCACCACTGAGAAGACTCTTCTTGTTGCCACCACCCAAGCCTCCTTTGGAAGCAGCAATTGGAGAAAGGCCCCAGAACGTGATCGTAGTGTTTGGGTAGATAGAAGCTGGGAGAAGCGTTTCATCGGGTATTGTGGTCCCAAGCCATGTAGGGCTTTATAAGTCATACTTACTTTCATAGAGATTATTCATAAATGATGCATTTGATGCTATTCATATAAGATCTGTAATGATAGTATTGCTTTGAATATGTGCTTGGCTTTGAATTGTGATACATGCATTTCGGTCACTGTTAAATGGTACTTTCCCATTCCTTTTCTCATGAGTCATCCAATAATCCTAAGAAGTTGGCTCTTTCTCTGAAAAGCAACCTTTGAAACCATATCTTGCCTTTTGACTTCTTCCTCATCTCCTTGTAGACAGCTGCAAGCCCCTGGACCAGCTGAGCCTCACAATCCCTGTGGCAGGACACCCTGTTTCACCTGCCCACCCTCTCTCAGGATGTCCGGTGCCCAGTGTGCCACCAGCTGCAGAGCCTGTTCCTCACTTGCAGACACCCAACTCAGAGCCCCAGACTATGGCCCGTGAATGCCCACAGAGCTCCAAGCCTCCCAGCGGCTCTAAATCAGGCCTCCGTAATACTACAAGCTGTTTACATGTGTCCGACAGCAAAACAGTTGGGGGTCACTCTCATCCAAAGCAGCAGCGCATCAACCGGAGGAGGGCCACAAACGGCTGGATACCCATTGGAGCGGCTTCCGAGAAGGCAGTCTATGTTGTGGTAAGCATTCTGCAAACGACTTTTCTGATGGTGGTGGGCTGGGCCAAGAAGGAGGCTTGCAGAAGGTGAGGATGCAGATTAATTGAGGTTTAGCCAGGCCTGTTCCTAACCAAATCTTTATGCCAGAATTGCCCCCGCCCCCCACTCCTCCTGCCTCTCTGTGTTGGAGAAGTCTCCTGGCTCAGTTATTGTTCAGTAACCTTAACTCTTTGGAACCTCACAGCAAGAAAACGGCCTTTTGGCAGCTCTGCAGCTAGAACGGATTCAGAGAGGCCAGTCATGGGAGTTTGCCTTGGGAGCCTAGATGGGCTGTGCTGGAAGCACAATGTAACCTGAAGGTTTTTAAAAATAGGGTTTTTCCTGAGAAAACTGCTAGGCTAGTTCAGTATAAGGAGTATGTAAATGAATGTTTTAGAAATAATACATTTGGAGTCAAGAAAATCAGACTGAAATTAAGAGGGAAAATTTGGAAGTGGTATTACATCTATGATAAATGTCGGAGAAGGAAATGGAAGGGCAAATGGCCACAGGCCAGATGCAGGCACTCCCAGATACATGCAAAAGTCATGTTGAACCCCAGTGCCTCCTTGCAGGACTGGAAAAATTCTTGCTTGAATCCTGGAGTGAATCCTCAACAGGGCACCCATGAAGGGCTCTCCAGCGTGGAGCCCTGGGCACCCTGGGATTTTAAAAAATATGTTAAAATATGTTTACTTAGATGTGTATGAAATGCATAGCGTTATCTAGCTGTTATACACAGGCTTCAGCATGGTGGTTAGTGTGTTGACCTGGGACTCAGGAGACCTGGATTCTAGTCCCCACTCAGTGATCTTGGGCTTGTCACTGACTCTCAGGCTAACTTACCTCACAGGGTGGTGGTTGTGAGGATAAAATGGAGACGAGAAGAACCTTGTAAGCTGCCTTGGGTTCTTGTAAGAGGAAGAAAGGTGGGGTATAAATGTACTGTGACACCAACAACAAATGGACCAACTATACAAATATCCATGGGAAGTTGATGTCTATATGCCACCCATACTTATATCAAAATGGTGGTAGTTCTCAATTCATTGTATTGTAGGAGATGAGCTTTTTAAAATACAAATCTTTTGGATGTCAAAAGGACACAGAACACCCATTTCTTCTTCCATTTGTTAATTTCCATGGAGCAGGTAAATGATTTCAAACTGTGTATTTCAATGAATAGCAAAATCTGTCCTGGTACAAAATTTATCTATGTAATAACCTCCTCTCAGAAAGAAGCAATTCCTAGACATGGCTAAACTGTAGGTATAAAAGAAGCATTAGCTATATTGTACCACCAACAATCAGCTGGATTAGACAATTTGTTATTAAACAAACATTAATTTTCCTTGAATACAAAAGTCATTGCTGAATCAGATGGAGGCGAATATTCATAGATAGGTGGAGCAGGTACCGAAGTAGTGATCCGTAGCAGTGTCCACGCATCGAAAAAGGGTGGAGATCCCTGGCCTGGAGAGTTGCTGCCAGCCACGGTCAATAGTACTGCCCCAGATGGAGCAGTGGTCTGACTCAGCCTGAGGCAGCTTCCTGTTCCTGTGACACATGCTCTGCCTCCCCTTAAGGGCAGACCTTGTGCCGCATAGGTTGGAGCATCTCCCCTACGAGGAAAGGTTTTTGTATCCAGGACTGCTTCATTTAGGAAAAAAATACAGGTAGGCATGGTAGAGGAGTACAAAGTAATGCATGGTGCGGAAAACGTGGGTGACAGTTTCTTATAATACTGGAACCCAGGGTCATCTCGAGGAACTGGAATGGTATGGTGATAAATTCTAGACAGATAAATGGCTTCCTATGTACAATATGTCGCTAAACTGTGGTGTTCACTACTGGAAGCTGTATTGGTGGCCACAAGCTTGGACAGATTTAAAAGGAGACAGACAAATTCTTGGCTACCAATGGCTACTAGTCCTGATGGTTAAATACTACCTCCAGTACTGGAGCCTATACACCAGTGGCTGAGGAGTACAAGTGTAGGGAGAAGGGGCTGTGGCGATCCTGTCCCACAAACAGCTGGTTGTCTACCGTGGGAACAAAATTTGGACTAGATAGACCCTGGGTCTGATCTAGCATGATGGTACTTCACATCACTTGGCAGCATGTCAAAAACATTCTTGAAACAAACTTGCTTCTCAAAGTTGGTCTTCTGCCTTTTATTATGAGCTGAAAAAAGTGGATCTAATAAGATTCTACATAAACACACACCTTTGGTGTGGGAGGAGCCCATTCTGAGAGGCAAATTTAAGTCTTCCATGGACCATCTGACAGCGCATAATTGGAATTCTCATAACAGTTCAGGGAGATTAAATTGCCACATGGAAAATGGGATATGTGAGACTTTTTCACAAAGGTTATACAGATTTTTCCAGTGGAATCCATCCAATGTTTGAGATTCAAGTAGTGGAAAGCAATACTCTTCAAATACACACACCCACACATAGATGTACACATGCACATCTGCATTCTGGAACATACAATGTTTGCACTGCAGTATTAGAGCATGAGAATAGGAAAGGGGTATGTTGGAAGGGTACCTAAACTCTTGAAAGATGATGCCATATAGTGGAGAGGTTTGTTTGCTGGGCTGACTTCTCCTGTGCACTGGGTATATTATACTTAGCTTGGTGGTCAGTGTTACGGTTTTATATTTGTAAGATCATACCACATATTGCTTCATTATTTTATTAGGAGGAAAGGCAGCCATACTCAAATCCAAGAAATGCCTTTGTTATCACTGCATACATGTTGCATTTAATTACATAATTGCATGCTATTATTAAAAAGCCCTCTAATACTTTGATCTACGCGTATGCTGCAGTCAGACTAAGAGCTACTGTCACTGAAATGGACCTTGGACAAATTTATGGTAGTTGGATACTGAATTGGCCCTTAGACTGGAGTACTTCTTTCACTCCAGGTCATGTTCTTTGAAGCCCAGAACCAGTTACCTTCACCTGCATAGGCTTCACTAGCAGAACTTTGAGTTCAGTATTGTAAATACTAAAAAAAAGATTTTCAAGGGAATTCTTAAAGAACATGAAACACATTTTTTTTCTGCTGATACGTACAGTAGGAATGAAAAAGGCCTTTGTCTACACAGAAATTCTACACTGCTTCTTCATACTTAACAGGGCTAGACATTTAAATGATTACTATTCATAACTAAAAATAGTATTCATTTTTCCATATTAAAACTTGTAAATATAACTCAGTTCTGCATATTTACGCAGAACCTCACCATGTGGAATAGTGTTTGTAATAATGACATATTATAGGATGGATATTTTATAATATGGGAAGGTCCACTGCTATTTTATTTTATTTTTGTCCTCTTGTTATGTATATATGTGTCAGGATATAAATGCAGATATTTGCTTTGCAATGCTTTATCAGCAAGTCAGTCATACATTATTGCTTCAATTTCCACATTGAGAACATGCATTTCCATGCATAACCTGCAGACTTACACCTTTTGTATTTAAACAGTATAAAGTGGACACGAGGCATTTATCCTTCAACAACACTTTCCCAGTAAAAGTGGGCTATACCATATCGCTTTCTATGCTTCTTTAATAGGACCATTAACCCCACAGTCTTGCACAGAGCCAGACGCTAAAGCAGTCCTCCTTGTACAGAGCGTTTTTCATTTACAGCCAATGTGAACAAACTGAAGTGGCTTTTTTTCTTTGTTTCTTTCTGGGTTTAATCATTGCCTTTCATCTGAGCAGTGTGTTTTGCTTCTGAAATTAACCCGCTGGGAGGAGAGATGCATCCTGCCGTTTTGTACACTACAGCTCCTCCATGGTTTCTTTGGCACACCCATTTTGGCAGAAAGCTTTCTGCTTGGTGTAGGTGGATTAAAGGAAGCTGATATCTGTTTCTCAGCATTGTTTTTCCAGCTTCACTTCTTTTCTTGGCTTTCTCTCTTGTCAATATTTGTAGAATGAACCAGAGCCAGCTGTTCGTAAGAGCTACCAGGCTGTGGAGAGAGACGGAGAGATCATCCGAGTCCGAGACACAGTCTTGCTGAAATCAGGACCACGAAAGAAATCTATGCCTTATGTGGCAAAGATATCTGCCCTGTGGGAAGACCCCAAAACAGGTACTGGACAAACAAAATGACTATATATCATCAGGTGAAGCTGGAGAAAAGTGACAGGTAACTGATTTGAAATTGTAAAACTCAATATTTGTTTATAAAAGCTGCAGTGTTGGAAAGGAACAGAATGGTCATCCCATTCAGTTTGCCCTCTGCTTCTTTAGCCAAACCTCCCTGTTTTATTAGCAATACCATCCAAATTATAAGAAAGCAAAAGGGCTCACTATGTCAAAACTCCTGGGACAAAGAATTCATTTGGCAAGACAGATGCAAATGACTCAAACAAGTGAATTGTGTCCATGATAGTGAACAACACCAGGATCGGGCCAGGAAAAAACTTCTTGCTGATTCCAGATGTAACTTACCCAGCAAGACAAGCCAGGCTGCATACCTGTTCTTTTAATGCAGCCATCCACTCTATCCGAAGCAATTCCAGGTGAAAATTCTCTGGAGACATCTGTAGTAATTTGGAGATTTCTTGGGTATTTGATTTCATACACAGGCAGGGCACATGTAGGATAAGACCTGGAGTATAGGACAGAGCTCTGTGTCAGGCATCTCTTCCAACCCCACAGGCACTCTGCATGAAATGGCAACTTCCTCTATAAGCTGCTGTGTACGAACGAGTGCAGGCATTTCCAGATCAGGATTGCCCAATCTGGTGCCCTCCAGGTGTTCTGGACTCAGGCAACACAGTGAGGATTGCAGTATGCTGGGAGTTCTAGCCCAAAACATACTGAGGTGACCAGCTTGGGGAAGGCTGGTGGAGCATCAGGTAGGGTTACGACAAAGGCAGCGGCCCTTTAAGATTTGCTTGGCCTGTAGCTGCTTTGGAATTAATAGCACATTCTTCTGGGATGACCTTTCATTTATCACGGAAGCTCCTGAACCATCCTTTCTTTTAGGCTGGGAGGGTTCTTCAGCCTCATCAGGCCTTCTCCGAACAAGGTACAAGGGGGCAAAGGAGCCATTCACATCCACCACCATCCTGGTTGAAGAGATTGACCATCCCTGCATGAGACCTTCATTTATTTCAGAGGATAGTATATGATTAGTAGCCATCTCTGTGTCACAGAGGAAGGAGAAAATACTATAGTATAATAATCCCTTACATGAGGATCCATGAGCTAACTTCATTTCTCATATTGGACTCAAGAACTGCAACTTCTGGTTGTCATCTCCAAACCGCTGCTTGGGCATGTTTGCCCTGAAAATACTCATACCATTTTGCTGATTCTAACATCTTAGCAACAGCTACTCCCACGTGATTTTGTAACAACCAGAATGTCATGAACCTCTAATTAGACTAATGTTCTTCATAGTTTGCAGTCTGGGAAATAGTATAAAGATCTGAATTACTGCTTGCTTAAATAGTCTTGCTGCTAGCAGCTAGTATCAGACTGCAGTGGAGGTGGGAATAAGAAGTGAAAGTAATTTGGCCTAGTGATCGTTGCACCCCTATATATAGATTATTGTGTTTGGGGTGAAATTTCTTCTCTTACTGAAAATGGCTCAAGACTTAAATTAAATTGCAAATGCCCCTATATAAAAGATATTAGTAGCAATTAAAGTATGTGATGCCATTCCAGGAATACAGTGAAGTGCTTCCTGGGTATATGCAGCTGAGCCTTTGTTGATAAGGTAGCTGTCTTGACACCTAACATTTTCTACTCAACTTAAGTTGCCCTTCATTGAAGCCACTGCCCCACCTCCACCACCCTTTTCCCCCTTGGTTTTCTGTCATCACCAAGGGAAGGTGAGCACCCAGAAGGAAGCCTGAATAGGATTGTAAAGCTGACTACAATACAAGACGGTATTGTAAAGCTGAGCTGAATAGAACTTCAGCCATTCAACCTGGAGAAAGTTTCATTTCCCAGTGAAGACACACACTGGTTGGGTTTCAGCAACACAACAAGCCATGGTGGGGTTTTTACCATTAGTCTGTCTTGTTTGATCCCAGTCATGGTATTTCACCATGGTAAGTTTGGTCTTTGGAAACTATGATAAGAAACAATGGTTTGTTCTATGGTTTCTCTGCGCTACCATGGCTTGTCTTGTTGCCTGAACTGAGGACCACATTTTCCGCAATCGTGACATGCAACTACTACAGAGTCCTCTGGAAAAAGTGGCAGCTGCAGAAACTGCTTCTGCTCTCCAGCCTTTATGTGTGGACCAAGGAGAAAGAGGTAGGGAGTGATGCACCATGAAATTGAATTTTAGGTGAAGTGGCTGATGGGATAAGAGGACTGAGTGAGGAGAAAGGAAACCATGATAAAGTAAAAACCACTCGATTGTTGGATAGATCATAGTAAACAACTATGAAATATGAGAACCATGCAGAGTTTGTGTCATGTTGTGTGAACACAGCCACTGTTTTTGGAACAGTGAAGCCACTTTGGAGGTGCTTTCAATGGAAGCCGTTTAGCTTGTACTTACTCCTCTCCAGGACTGAAGTCTCACAAGGGGAGTAATTGTATGTGAATTTGAAGCAGGAGCTGAGCGTTGCTGGTGCTGCTTTAATTATCCCATGATGCTGTCGAGAAATCCTTGGAGCAATTCCATGCATGAAAAAAAGCAGGGGCAAATTAGAGGCCTGGGACCGCATTCAGTGAACTGAGATGCAAACCTGCTGTTTCACTTATGATTCAGCTGAGATAGGTGCTGCAAGCTCTGTGTTGTCTGCCTCCACTTCTGCTGCTGTGTTAGATTTCTCTAGAAATGTACCTTGTTTTCTTCCAGGGGAACTGATGATGAGCCTCCTGTGGTATTACAGGCCGGAGCACACTCAGGGAGGCCGCAATCCTAGCATGCATCAGGTGAGCTGTAAGCTTCTGAGTGATGGTTTGGGTGCTTAGGATTGCTTCAGTGCAGGGAGCAGAGAAAGCAAGTAACAAATTTGCCATGCTTAGATGTTTCACATTTCAAAATATTGCAGGGTGTCCTGTTTTTGTTTAGCCAGGCTACTGCTTTCTGTACTTTCAACAACTTGGTTTCCTTAAGCAAAACTTGCAGCATTTCACAAGCTGGCAAATAATCTGAGTAGCAAGTCTGTAATGGATGGCTCTCTGTTGCCATGCATGGTATTACAGTCTGAAAACTTGCTGGGCTGTATCCAGTGTTTTCCAACCACCAGCAGTCAGAAACACATGGCAGAATTACTGCGTTCTCTCTGGAGGGTTTGTTGAATAATCAGAGCAGAGTGGGGGAAGAAAGCAAGGAGAAATCCTGCAGTGCAAGGGGAAGTCAGTAGAGGTGTGAAGGCACAGAACAAATGGAGGGAATCCAGGAAATTTGGGGTGGTGGGGAGGACACATGTCCTCCCCATTTTTCAAAAACCCTTGAAATGGGATAGAGGACCCTTCTTTTTTGGGTTCCTTACATTTCATTGAAGCCATCACATCTCCAGTTCACATTATGCTGGCTGTTAAACTCCATGGCTGTTCTGTTAGGATTTCTGGTACTTGCTGGGTTTAGACCCATCCATTTTTAAGATACAAACACTGTATACATTTCTGGGCCTAATAATGTGCCATCAGTACAGTAAAAAGTTGAGTTTTGAAATACTTAAACGTGATGTTTTCTTAAGATTTGTACCTGTTCTGTAACAGAATGATTGTATTTATTTCCCTATAAGTGAGCAGGTATCATTCTGGTATGGAAGATCTTAATGTCTTTCCCCATAATTAATAGGTCAATTGTGGAGAAAATGACTTTTTCCAGCACTAACAAAACATTTTCTCATCTCTTCTTCTCTAGCCCAACTAGCAGTTCCTTTGATTAAACTAGCCCGAGCATCACTGTCTTCCTGACAGGATGATACAGGCATTCCTGATTATTTTAGACCTAAAAGTTTCAGACTGATGCAGGGAAAAAGGAGGACCTGGCTACCTTTTCCCCAGTCTAAAACTGTACAGAGAGCTTAAGCTATAGGGCAACATAGAAATGAAATAAATAAAAATAAAATACTTTGGCATGTGAGCAATTTTGAGGATAAGGGGAGCATTTCATGTAAAGAATCATCAGGTAAGTTGTCAGCGATGGAAAGATGGGTGTCTGGTTGTGATCATGTCTTCTGTGGGTCCAAATTGCCCATGTGAAGGCAATGCTGGATCCTGAAATGAATGCAGATGCCCCTGAGCTGAATTCAGTCTTAGCTTGATAGCTTACATTTCTGTGTAAAATCTAAGCATTTATATCCAATACCAAAAGCTTGTGGAGGCAACAAGGAAAATATTAAGCATAATGGGAAGCATCCAGCGTTCTCCGTATGCTCATGGTATTGACACTCAGCTACTGAAAACTGACACTCAGCTGCACTGGCTAATAGGACAGGATCCTAGGCATGTGAGCAGTATGAACACAGCACCAGGGTTGGTTTCTGCCAGCTCAGCATAATCAGCATTAGTACAGGAGCATCTTTGGTACCTGCCCAAGAGAAATAGAATTCAGTTACATTTTCTCCTAATCTTCCCCCTGCCTCAAAAGTTAAGAAGAACAGAAGCAGTGCTAGAGGGTCCCAGGAAGGCATACCTCAAAAGTTGTACCCCTTTGGTCTATTTTTAAGTATATTCATGTGTTGTTTTAAAACATGATACAGGTAAGCAAGTGAGAGAAAGAGAGAGAGAGATCACTTCAACAATGTTATGTCATGTTCACTGTTATTTCAGGCAAGCTTGCTAGCTTCTCCATACCAGAATGCTAATACAGTTCAGACATTATAACTCAGTAAATATATGCATTCGGGTTCATGAAACTTCATGTTTCTGTTATCTGCAATCTTTGACTTATGGTGACCCTAAGAAGAAAAGCCCTCCAGAATGTCCTATCCATGCCAGCCCTGCTTAGCTCTTCCAAGTCCAAGGCTGTGGCTTCCTTCATGGAGTCCATCCATCTCTTATGTGGCCTTCCTTTGCCTCTTCTGCCTTCAGCTTTCCCTAGCATGATTGTCTTCTCCAGGGAGTCTTGCTGTTGCAAGATTGTCTGAAGTATGGCTGCCTCAGATTTCTCAGTTTTGCTTCTAGGGAAATTCTATACAGAACTTTTCAATGACATAGTTTGGGTTTGTTACACTTTTAAAATAGTATGAAAAACATGTAAGCATAATCCTTTAGAAGCTATCCTGCCTATTTTCTGGTGACATGCTATTTACCATTAGCTGATAGACCTTTACATAAGCCAACAAACAGTATATGTGTTTAACAAAACCTATGCACACTTGAATTTAGCAAGGCATGCTTCTAGATAACCATGGATTGGCTCAGAAGCATAAAGTCCCAGACTTACTTACTTACTTACTTATTTATTTAGACAACTTATATGCTGCCCCATCGCATGAGCCTCGGGGCGGCTTGCAATCATTAAAATCCCGTATAAAATGCAAAAAATTCATCAAATAAATAAAATACATAAAATAAAATAGTGGAAACAGGCTGGTCAATTTAAAATCAACAAGTAAACCATTAACAGTTAAAATAGCGTTTAAATAAAAAGGTCTTGGCCTGGTGCCGAAAAACAAATAACGACAGTGCCAGGCGGACCTCTCTGGGGAGCGCATTCCATAGGTCCTTAAAGTATTAATGACTTTAAACAATCTAAAAAGATAATTACTAATCATTAAATAGACGAAGGTTGAAATACTCCACACATTTGCTCCACATAATGTTGCCTTCTGTTTAAAGCGGTAGCTGTACTCCTTCACAGTGTTGTGTTAGGATGCATCTCTTAACAGGCCACAAGCAAAACTATGTGTAGAGTTGCAGAACATCTTGTGAAATATTTGTCATGTTCCTTCTGCAGAATGAGATTTTTGCATCCCGACATCAGGATGAAAACAGTGTTGCCTGCATTGAGGAGAAGTGCTATGTTCTGACCTTTGCAGAGTACTGCAGGTAGGTGGCGCTCTGCACTTGCTGTTGCTGGTGTCTTTGGTTCCATAAACGGAGTTCAATGGAATGGATGCATGGTGCTTCTCAGCAAGCTGGTTTATAGTCTGCCCAGCCATATGAGCTAATCAGTTTGCTCTGTCTCTGCTTGGCAGTAGTCATGGCTTTCTCTGCATCATCAGTAGAGCTCCAGCTAATTCCTAATTTAGTTACCATGCTTTTAGTTGGACTGAGAAACAAGAAACTGAATTGCACCCTCTTTCCCTTTGTCAGCAAAACAGGAATGGGCATATACTGTTTTTCTTTGGATCTTAGCACATAGAGGTAGGTGAGGAGTCAGTAAGCAACATCTGTGTCACCGCGGTGTGTTTTCTTGGAGCTCATATCACTAAATGATGCATCCACGTGGCTTCTTCTTATTTTTCCTCTCGTGAGTACATTGGAAAAGGAGCAACTCCAGGTCTTGGGATTTTTTCCTTTTCCACTGGAGAAGCTGTAACAGGAAATAAGCCTTTCAAATTAGTGCAGCCTCTTCCAATCTGGTTCCCTCCAGATGCGTTGGACTACACAGTGCTACTCCAACACATCTGGAAGGCACCAAGTTGGGAAAAACTACAGCAGTAAAACTTGGGGAATTTCTGATGCATGGCCATTATACCATAACAATGGCTAAAACAAGCCATAGTGGCTTATTGTAGCCATGTGTGCTGGGTGTATGCTGGCCAGATTTTCCTAATTATGTACTGGCCACTGACACAACATGGCTGTTTTGGGGCGGGCAGCAACTGCCAGACAACCCAACTATAGTCTGTGGATCAGTTACTTGCTATGGCCAATGAAGTATCCTACCATGGTTGCCTAACTCTTTTGCAGATTTTGTGCCTTGGCAAAGCGTCGTGTTGAAGGCATCCCAGGCAAGAAAACAGTGATGGTTCCTCCATCAGAAGAATATGCCACCCCTGCACATCGCAAGGTTCCAGAGGACACTGATCCAGAGTTGGTTTTCCTCTGCCGTCACGTCTACGACTTCAGACATGGACGCATCTTGAAGAACCCACAGTAATGGAGCTCTGCAGCTGTGGGGTTGACAAGGGGCAGCAGAGAGCCAAGGGCAGGCTGACCTCAAGGCCTGTGGACATTCCTCCTCTTGCGGGGCCCGGCCCACAGGCACAGCACTCTGCCCTCGGCATTTGGAGCAGATTTCCTGTTAAGGCAGATGTTCAAAGCACAGCACTTCTTCTAAAGAGCATAAATGAGAATATATATCTATAAATGTGTGTGTGTGTATATAGATATAGGTACTGCCTTCTGTAGATCTATATCTATATATGTGCAACAAGCTTCATATATTGGGGGAGGGGGGAAGGGGAGGATGGTCCAGGGGATAAAAGCCAGTAAATTGAAGAATCCAGAGCCAGACTTGGTGGGGATGGCTAGAACGTAAGAAGGGAAATGTTAGTGCAGGAGCAGGTCAGGCTGCGATCGGTCCCTGAACTCATGTCCTTATATGAAGGGTAAGGTAAGGGCAGAGGCCCTTGTGATTGGCATAATGCTTGAGGCGAGTTCCTGTTTTGGAGACGTTGGCATACTGAGTAACCCTCCTACATGCTGAACATGTTTCTCTTTGTATGGGCAAAAGGACCACGCTCAAGGTTGCTTATTTCCTATGGCTGTCCAGGCAGATTGCGACTTTCCTTGCTGGCTGTGAGCTTCATCTCTGAAGTGGGAAAGCTGTAATAGGATTACCTCACACCATTGTGAAAAGCTGCATATCGTTCTATGGCTGTGGTCCTAAAGTTAGCTGTACATTCCATTGACATCAGTGGGATTTACTTCCAAGTAAATGTGATCAAGATTCAGATATAAGGCAACAGGGCCCAACCTTTGAGGATGCCTTTTGTTGGGGGTGGGCATCTGGAAAGCTCCCAGAGTATGAAGTTTGAGTGACAGCTGCTACAATACAGATCTCTTCCTTCCTTAAGTCTGGAGAGGCATCCCTTCTGTTGGTAGAAGTAGTTTGTATTCTTTCCCATCGCAATTTCATTGTCTTTGCTGTCATTCATGAAGCCAGAGTCAAGTAATGACAGTGTACCGCTTACATGGCATTCTTTCAAACAGGTATCTTAACCTGACCAGTTTAATCTGGTGTGCTCTTGCCTGTCTACCTCTCTTCTCTCCCAGCCTCCCCAGGTTTGTACCATTGTCCATCTGAACAGGCCCACCAAGGTGAAACTCTTGGGCTCCCCAAAGGAACTGATCGAGGAGAGGTTTGCATTTTGACAAACTGCTACCTGATTCCCACAGATAACTTCTGCCTCTTGCCTTACATGTATAGCTCTTAGAAATACCTTAGTTTAGCTTTAACACAAAGCTATTTCAGTTAATTCTAAAGTAAACCAAAGGACAGCATAAGAAGAGTCCACTGAATCAGTCACACAAAGCTGGGATTCCATTTGTAGATTGCACTAATTCTAAAGAATGAGAATCAACACTGTATCAGTCCGTGTACCTGCTGACGGTCAGAGTCGCTCACCTGTACTAGGGACCTACGTTTTGGGGTGGGGTGGGGTCTGAACTAGTGTTAAATGATATAGAAGTGTTCCTACGGCTTTAATATTGTCGTCTTTTCAAGTAGAAGTAGCACTACCTGTACTTGCCCACAGGCTAGAATCGAGAGTGTGGCCACCTGTGCTCTACGCCTGCCTGCCTGCCTGCCTGCCTGCCTGCCTGACCTGGAGAAAGTAGCCCTGCCATGTTCAGTTCCTTGTGCATTAACACAAGTGGTATCTACAGATTTGCTCTACATACCAAAGAGGGGAAAGCGACAGGGAGAGACAAGTTGAAAAGGTCAAAGCCCATGGTAGTTGTCATGCCTCCAGGTCACAAGGGGATGATTCCTGCTATACCCTGGTAGGAAACTGTTTATTCCTGCTGTGAAGGGAAACCTCCCATCCTAATTCTGAGCAATGGTCATTGGTTAATCCAAGCTTGCAAGCGCCACAGTAATGGTTTTCTCATTGCTTGGGCATGTAAAAGGCCTCTTGAAGTTACTAGTGCTACAAAGTGCATCTTGTTACAGCGCAGGCATGGAGAGAAGCTTCCCTATGACTTTTCACTCAAGCCAGTGAGAGTATCACAGAAGGGGAAGCTCTGATTTGACAGAAGGGTAGAATTGGCATCACTCGTTGCAGCCTAGTGGTAAGCAGGAGTGGTTTGGGAGCAATATTGTAGGTTCTTTAGCGGCTGCCTGTTCTTCCATTTGCCTGGTTGAAGAGGGAATTATAGAGAAAGAAAGAAAGAAAGAAAGAAAGAAAGAAAGAAAGAAAGAAAGAAGCAACTGGAATAGGGAATGTTCCCAGAACGAGATCAGTAAGAGTTGTGTGTTTAGGAGCTGGATAGTCTGTTCTATGCAGAATCAGATTTGGGATTCCTTTCTGCTGTGATTGGGGGGCGGGGGAAGAAACCATGTTGCTAAGGTTCCTCTTTTATGAAAAGAGTTACATTGTTTGTGATGTGGTGACAGGAATCCTCAAAACATTTAATTCAGAGTCACATTCAAGGTGGTCCTGCCCCTTGAGAGAGGTTATGAGATGTGGCATCAGAAACCAGAGAAACTTCTGAAAACCTGATTTCTGCTGCTGCTTCCTCTAACACCTTTTTCCTGTCTCCTCTCCAGGCAGGAAAAAAATGTCCAAAACAAAGGAAAGTATATATTCCCAGGTTCTGGGATGGGTTAGGAGACCCCTTTCTGGAGAGGAGAAACCCTGTCCCTTTCTTGCTTCTGATATTGTCAGAATCTACTTCAGGCCAAGAATATTGTTTAAAGACTTGTGTGGTTGTTTTATGCTGTTTTGCAGGCAGCATGTAAATGATTTGAAATGTCTTATCTGAAATGAAAATATTTCATGCTTTTTTAATCTATTAGATATGGAAATATTTTTGAAACTGAAAATGCAGTCAGTAGAATTTTAATTGAAAATGTAATACATGTAAAATATATTTTAGTTGATAATTTTGTAAAATGCACTTTTGTGTCTCTTCCCTTGTTTCCCAGATCTGTATTTCAGTGTTTACAGATGGAATGAGAACATTCCCTATACCCTTCTTCTGTGAAAAAGATATATTAGAAGTAATTCTTAAAAATAAATTTGAGAAATTGTATTGATTTAGAAAACAATGCTGAAATTGTCTTGTTTTTATTAGCAGCCTACAATGCTTTTATGGGGACTTCTTGACAACAGTAAAAGACATCATGTATAAAGACTCAGTCCCATGGTTTCTCAGCATTTGGAGTGGGGCATAGGATTACTCAAAGCCCCACACTCCACAGTTGTGGAACTTCAGAGCAGGGACTCCAAAAAGAGTCGCTGCCAGGCCCCCTTGCAGCCAGTATGGAAAGCACTGTGGTGGATGCCTTTCTGAGGTTGCCAGTTGGCCCCAGAGAAGAGAAGAGGGGGTGTGTTTGTGGGTCAGGAAAGAGAGGAGGACTGAGCTGGCATTTAGGGTTATGCTTCATTCAGAGAGCACCCTGGCTGCTTCCCCTCCACTCCCCACCACTTCACCTTGATGGCTGAAAACAACCATCCATGCTTGGATGCCTGTAAGCTGGTTTGTTCAGAGGCTCATGTGAATGGAAAGCAGGGGCCCTGGGTCGCACCCTAAATCGATACTCCATCTTGTTCTTAAGGTGGCGTACATAGGTACATATACGTGATGATGTGAAATTGTTTAAAATATATCCAAGAAGTAGCTGAAGCAGATTTTGATTCCTTTTAAAAATAATCCTAAACTGCTCTCATAAAACAAGAGGCAAGCAACACTCAATAGAAGGAACTTTGTGTGAGATGCTGGGTACCACAGCAAAAAAAGGCCCTATTCCTTCCCACTTAATTCAGAATATGAGCAGAACCTTCCCTGATTCCTTGAGCACATAAGGAGTGTTTGTGTTGGATTACAGGAGATCAAAGGCGTGAACACTGCTATGTTAGCAAAGAAGTATATGCACACCTCGACGTCCCTCAAACCTAGAGGGGAAGAGGATGACAGAGTGGTTTGCTTTGTGTGGTGCACTTTTGCCACAGGGGAACGAGCTTGGGGCCAAAACTAGAGGTGAGAATTGGCTTTGGAACATGAGGACATTTTGTCTGTGCTTCTCCTCATCTCCTTCCAGAAGGATTCTTTGAGTTCTCTAAGGAAATAGCCTTTTCACAGTTAAATGGTTACTGAGGGATGGGGGAACTGGATTTGAAAGATGCAATTGGCCCACACATTCCCTTCAAAACTGGCACAGGTTCCAGGTTGTCATTCATAATTGCTTTAACCCACTTGTGAATATTTGAGGACAAACTTAACCCGCATCCCAACAAGGCCAGTACAATCCATAAAGTGGGATCAGACTAAAAATAAAGGATTTGGCAGTTTGGCTTTGTTGTAGCGTTTTATGGGTGACCTGGCAGAAGGAAGCCAACTTATTAGTCAAGCAGAAATATCCCTAGTTTCTGTCCTAGAGCAGAATGGAGCCCTACGAGGTGGAGTTGGTAAAATGCGTCATGCTTTGCCAGTGCGGATGCCTCACCTGTACCTTTCCAGGAGTCGGCCAGCTGGCTGGCTGTTCTCCTGGAGTGTTTAATGGAACTTAACAGAGGCCTTCCTTTTGCTAGGAGGAATTACAGCAGAGTCAACAAGCACTCAAGCGCTACCAGAAGCATTTACATGTGGAACTGAATGCAGGAGCAAATGACTCTTGCAGAGCTTTCCTTCTCCAAAATAAGTAGAAGAAATGCAATGCTTTTTTATTCTCAAAGGCTACTTGTTCATCCCAAGTTAAAAGTTACGGGTTTCTCAGAAAAGTGCAGTTAACAGGTAAGTAAGTGCCATCTGGTGGCAAGTCAAGATGCTTCACAAATTGCCAAAGTATGTGTGCACTGGGAGAGATGAGGAATTGGTTGAGCATTATTCTTTCCTTGTATGAGGTGAACTCTCAAGGCCCACCCAGGCTTGGGATGGTTCAACAGGAAATGCTGTGAAAATGCAAGGAATTTGCCACTGGGTCAGGTCTGCGCAAATAGCTACTCACCCAACTGAAAACTGCCTGCCACTGCTGGTGGCTCGGTGGGAACCTCAGCAGAAACCTTCGTTGCTCTGCACACATCATGGAATAACACAATTTTTGGGGCACCTGGCCAGTCACATGACACCAGTATAATCTGATATAGTCTTCCCTGACCTGTGTGGGACCTCAGCCATGCTAGCTGAGAGTTGTAGCCCGGCATTTCTAGAAGGCACCAGTGTGGGGAAGGCTGGTACACAGAGCCTGAGCATGGACTACGAAGGCTCAGTTCAAACCCTACTCAGCCAGGAGCCTCGCCAGCTGAATTTTGTGGCTGTCAGCCTTCCTGTTGACTAAAGTCCAGGACTAGCTAATGGGGAGATGGTGTAATAGCACAGTATTGCTATAAAGGAAAGGAAAGAGAAACAGTGCAGCTTCTTCCCATTTCTCCCGGCTCCCTGGAAAGCAAAAGCTGGGAAAATGATTCCAAGGCAGGGTGTGAAGGCAGCCACCTTGCTGAAGATAAATAAGGCTGGGTTTAGTCAATGGTTGGAGGAAGACCCCGAGGGAACCACATGCAGCCACTAATGTAACACAAGGGAAGAAAGATGGCTTAAATGCAGTAAGGAAAAATAAAGGGGTGAATTGCTGATCCCACACTCATCAGAGCAGGAAAGCAGTAAAAAGGACTGAACCTGCAAATGGTAAACATTTTTCTTGGCTCTGACTAAGACTGCAGAGGTGAACGGCAGCATTTTCTGACATCCTGTGCTGGCCGGGGGTTACAAGCTGCTCTACATCCAAAGCTTTTGCACATGCTTTGGATGAATGCACGTCCCTCTACTCTCCCTTCTCAAGAATGGAAGCTTTCTTTGATTTTGTAAAACACTCAGGCTTTACCAACATGGTAACCTCCAGATGTGTTGGACTGCAACTCCCATCATCCCCACCCAGCATGGATATTGGCTGGAGAAGCCTGAGGAAAATGAAGAAAAGAAAGTGGGGCTGATCTTCATAGGGTCTAACATTTCATAACAGAGTCAATATCAATGAAGTTAATCCATGCATACAGGTGGAAAAAGTGAGATGGCTGGACTGCTAGCATCTTGATGCAAAGACATTATCGGGAGGAGGTTAACTTAGTTCTGTGGTGCCCCTTTGTGCACTGATCCAGTCCTTAGGAGTGGTTTGAGAGTGTGCGTGCAGCCCATTTACAAATTGGCTCTGGGGCTGCTGCTCCCATGCTGTCCCAGGGATGTTTAGATGGTTAGATCGGTTCACCCTGGCTTCAAGGAGCTGGATCCATTCATCCCAAGCATCCAGTTATTCTCAGAGTGATCTAAGGTGCTGCAGCTATGCAGTTCCATAGAGGATGGGACTTCCGGGCATCATGCATGAAATCTGTCATTTCTTTCCAAAACAAGGCATAAATAGACACATTAATATTGACACTGCTATAATGGTGTGCAGCAGGCTTAAACACTTTGGATATACTTTGTTAACATACACCTGCATTTCAGACAGCATCCAATGTGCTACTGCTTCCAGAAAACCCATTGCTCTACAAGTCATTTACACTAGTGCAACTGCTTTTATGTTAGCGTGGGTGTCACCCTGGAGAATGTCCTTTAGTACAAATTGAATTCAGTTATGGACTGAAGCTCACAGTGCAATCCAACGCATGCCTACTCAGAAGTAGGTCCACTGAGTTCGGTTAAGCTTACTCTTATGTAAAGTTGTATGAGTGCAGCTTTTGTGAGTTGCTATTATTGATAAGTGGAAGATTTCCAAACAACACTCTCTGCCCCTACCTGTCAACCATCCCCAAGTCAGTGCCCATCAGAGGTGTTGGACTGCAACTCCCATAATCCCCAGCCAGAGAACCCAATCTAGTCTAAGAGAAAAACAGCACGCTACCCATTTGGGGAGAGACTACAATAAGCACCAAAAACATTGTTATAGTGACCATTCCCTGATCAGCTGTACAGAGAGGGAAAAAGCCATGAAATATTAGGTTATGTCTTACTGCCAGTTTTAGTGTGGCTAATTGTAACTGACAGTAATTGCACCAGAAATTATCCCAATCCAGTGTCGAGGATAATTGTGGCTGTCATATTAAAATGATAAAATACCAATCCAATTAAATGATTTTCCTGTAGCTTTGGGTCCATTAAAATGATTGTAGTGATAAATGAGACATGGACAAAGTGGTTGTATATGTATGTAAATTAAGTTTGATGAAGCATCAGAAAAGGAGGCTCTACAAAAGTGGAGGATCAGTATTTTAATGCACGTGGGACTATGATAGTCTGTTTGCAAGCCAGTATTGTCTAGCAGATAATGTGCCATATTTGGAGACTGGATTCAAACTCCCTCCTCCAGCAACATCACAAACTAATTGTGTGGCCTCGGGCAACTGAATTCCCTTGCACTCCCTTGCTTTTAGGAGAGAATTAACTGCAAGTGCTACCTTGGAAGGGGTCTGTGTTGTGCGGCTGTCGAGCTGGATTTGGGCAACTTGCCAACTTTGGTCATCTAAATGTTGATGGACTGCAACTCCCATCTGTCCCAACAAGTATGGACAGTTGTCCAGACTGATAGGAGGTGTAATGACCAGGCTGCATTCCCCAACAACATAGCAATGACCTGGCATTCCCTACCCTGCTATAAAACGTTTCACATGCCAAAAGTGCTATTGAGTATAATTCAGAGAAATTATGTATATTTACCTATTTGTTTGATCCTCATAGCTTTCAATGACACTTACATGCTCCTTATTACCAGATATTTCACAACAGTCCTGGGGTTGTATCCAATATCAATCTATGTTAACTCCTTTCACTTTAACGGGTCTACATTAAGTAGGACTTAACATTGGCTGCAACCTTCCAGGCTGTGTTCTCCTGCTTCATCCCATCTGCCCACTGCGAGCAGTCAATTTCAGAGTCCTTGCTCTGGATCCCAACACCTCCAGGTGTGTAGTTTGTGGGAATGGAGGTCTTCTTCAGTTGTGATGTCCAGATTATGGAGTTTTTTCCTTGCGGGAACTTTCTGTGCCTGCTGTCTGAAGACCACTCTTTTCATGGTGCTTGCTGGCTTCAACAACAACTCTGCTGTTGTCTCCATTT